AGAGATGTCCATCGCAGCCACCGTCTGGCCCAAGCCAGTCGGATGTGCCATCAAAGGAGGTGTGAGCAGAGGGCCTCTGTCAGGTCGCCTTGCTCTAAGGCCAGAAGCATGGAGCCTGTCTTGTCACTGATGTTGGCATTGTGTCTCCCGGCAGTTTCAGCAGCAGTACGGGTGGCAGATCTGAAATGATCTCGCAGATGGACCAGTCTGATGTGTCGGTCCTGCTCTGGTGTGGTCACTCGAGGGCAACCGGATCGTGGACGGTCATCTGTCCTGCTGAAACCTTCTCTACAGTCGGGACACAGTGGAGCAGCTTACTCCATAGTGTCTGGCATCGCTGGCACATGACATGCCAATGGCCCTCCCTTGCTTCTGGTGACAATCAAAGCATTATGGAATGCCCAGAAAACTGACTGTGTGGCCTTTTTCTTGCAGTGACCTAAGCTTTGAATTAAGGCCTTTTCAAAGGTGACCTGATCAGGCATTGTTCCACCTGGACCTTGTTGGGTAAAAGTGCACCTAACGAGCTTTTGTGTGATTGGCAAGTTGCAATGCCTCACTGCACAAACTGTATTGCTGGTCAGAGGGCTTAAAACAAATTTACAACTTTTTGTGAAAGTACTTAAGCTATAACTATACTATTCTCATTCCAGAAAATGTTGCGTTTCTTTTTTCCCAGCAATATATTATTTTTATTAGTAGTCATTGCTACCTACTACAGTTCTAAAGAAAATCAAGAACATTTCATAGTTTGTGTGAAAATACTGTATGTTACCATAAAATAGGAGAAGAAAGCTTGAACTATCAGAAAAACTATCAGACTGTCAGAAATCAGTTCCTGGCATTAAAGTGTGTACCATACATAAACTATGAGATTTAGGGAAATTCGATAAAGGACACACATTTTCAATAGACTTCTTAATGTAAAAAACATGACGTGGAAATACAAGGAATTGCACAGTGTGTCAAAATGGAAGTCATATGGTCATAACTTTAAAAATGTTACTGTATAATGTCTCAGTGCATGTGCCTCTGTCAGACTTTAATAAGGTACTTAAATCAGGTAATAAGGTAATTACATCTCTTTTTCAGAACACTTATACAAATACAGTAGATTACAGCCTCCCCATTCTCAGAATTACTATTTAAAAACATGGAGTTAATAAAGAATCCATTGCCTATTTACTGTAAATAGCCCATACAATTATACCAAGACTTAAAATATTGTTCTTGATTCCTGATCAGTGATTTTCATAACCTTATTGGCCAAACAAACTTTAAATTACACAACCTTGGTATAGGCATTATAGAATTAACACATCATAAACTATTTTGCATTTACTGTATTTCATGATTGATAAATGGGCAGAACTAACCAGAATATAAATTTAGAAAGACAGAATGCAACCATCTTTTGTCAAATTAAACAGATTCAGGCCTTTTGTTTTTGTTATGCGATCCTATGTTTATTCATTAGAAAAATAAAGGAATGGTGATTGCTTGATCCCATAAACAAAACTATTACGTGGCTTTGACATATTCTTCCTGATAGGGACTATTGTGAGATGACAACTTGGGAAGGTATCACTTTTGGCAGCTGTAATACAGTATGTGATATAACAGTAATGTTATTTTTATGAGGATAAATCATGCAGTATGAGTATCACCCAGGGCATTCATTTTTAAGGCTTGCAGACAGTTACATTATATTGATTTGTATAAAAAATTATCATAGATCTGCAACAATCAGTGCTCGAGTTCTATGGTATTTCTGATAACTGTCTTCAACCAAAAGGGATCCTGTAGGTAAAACGTCATTCCATCTTTTGTCTTACAAGCAGTACCCTCTTCTGCCCTTTCCTGTAACAGTACTGTACATCAAAATTATGACATAACCCATTATCCAGTATAAATCTGCTATAGGACAAGATGAAACCCTTTTACCCTTAAAGTCATGTTTGATAAGAGATGGTGGTGAGGAATCCAAACAAATCTCCATGATAGAAAACTGAATATCCTCAAAAGTGAATATTCCAGGTCTGGTACTGCATCATAAAGAGATTTTACCAAATCGTGGTTTCATCAATATCAATTATTCATCTGATTTAGTACTCGGCTAACAAGTAGAAAAACAATATCCTTAACACTAAGAAAATCACATTTTGATTTACCTCAGATGTCTACAGAGACCTGTGAACCAGCAGAAATTAAGCATATGTTCAATCATTTCTGATCATTTATTCAATTACTACAGAGAGCATTTTGACAACTGTCATGTACAGTAAATGAGTGCTATCTTATAGGATCCATTACAATGGCATTTTCAAATAGCTTGGCTTCAGGCCTTACTTTGCATATTTCTGAAAGCAATCTTTTTTTTTACATGTGGTGCTACAGAGGTTGATTGCACATTGGCAATTAGAGAATTTCATTTGTTGAGGAAAGCACACTACATGCAAGATTAAATTAAAACAAGACAGGACAATTTCAGAAAGTACATACATAAAATATATCTATGAGCCATGCCAGTTTGCTTCCTTTTGATGATAATACCAACAATGGATTTGTTGCTATATTTAGAGACACTCTCAAAGGATTTAATTTCCATGCATTTTCAATTTCAAGCAGGAGCTTTAATTTTAAGAAGGAAAACAGTCACAAGATCTTGTATTTCCTAAACACTTTATCCACTCTAATCAATACAGAAATAAACGATGCATAGAAAATGTCGGACAAAATCTCAGAAGGAGCTCACACTGTTTTCAGCAAAGAGTGCTAGGGTGCATCAGCTGTAAAGCAAAAATAAGTCTGCAACAATAAACTGTGTAAAACTGTTGTATAATAATGTTAAGACCAAGAATATCCATTTTACAGCCCTTTTGTTAAATGTACAGTATTCACTCTCAAACAAATTGTGTAAAGAAAAAGACAAACAATTCCTCAAGCTGATTCTAGGCATAAAGAAAGAAAATGAATTAAAGCAACCAAGACATTCTCCCAATAATTCTTTGCCAGATTTCTTTCAAAATTAAATTACCCTTGGTCTACGGTCACTGGTTTATTAAGGCTTATGAAAAGAATTATGCAGTACGAGTATCACCCGGGGCATTCATTTTTAAGGCTTGCAGACAGTTACATACTACAGGCAGCTTTCTAATCACCACAGACTGCATGCCAGGAGTCTGAAGAAAGCTCAGGGCCAGAAACAGGACATTTCTCCCTTGTCCATCAATGGGTCATTTTCTCATATTAGGAATAATGCCCTTAGCAGTGAAGCTCTAAAAAATGACTACCATTTTCCTCTTCTTACTTATTTTACCACTCTAGGTTACAAAAGCTCTGATGCTATTTTTCTTTTGAGCAAATACTGTAAGACTGTGCAAGTATCTCTGTTTCTATAAAAAACTTTTGAAACTTCAAATAAAGCTTAGCAAATACACGGTATAATGTCACTGTATAACTGTATAATAACCAAATGTAATTTTTGTCTGTTTAGATACAAATATCAGGAATATTTACATCATATATCAGGAAATTAATATTTCTAGTCTGGGGGCATAAGCTAAGAGCAGCCATGTTGTAATTATGTGTAAGAATATGAATTAACTCCTTGTCCAAGTCTAATAAGACCTTCATTTTGCACATGTGTCAAAGTTGTTTTACATAATGACCTGTATGAATAAAATTCGCACCTTTGAATCGTATTATAGATTTAAACGCTCGTGAATAAGTAAACAAAGGTTGCATTTAGCCATATTGGTGTACTATAGAAGTATGTCCATGTCCACTATTACCAAACACAGATTCATAAAGCATAAATCTCTCATTTGTATAACTGTGTTTGTGTAAAGAGAAAAACAAAGGTACTGTATATAAAAATCTTAGGCAGAATGAATAATGAATTAACTATAATTATATTTCTGCCAGGTTTGTGTGGACATCTGTTTGGATCATTTGGAATGTGAACTCTACATCAAGATAGAACAATATAAATGTTGTTGATACATTAGCTTATAATTTGAGATATTGGTCTGTTCTTGAATTTGTGTAAATCTATGTGCCTTTCCTCCAGGGGGCAACATTTCAGAGATAAGCAGCTACTGATCAACATGTTGCTACAATGTGTGCTCTATGAGGCTATGTGTGTCTAAGTGTTATGTCTGTAACCATGGAATAGTGTCATGCAAGCAAATGTTTTATTATTAATTGGTGCTTTCCTCCATCAACTACAAGTTGGTTTTCTGCATTCTTCCACTAATTAGCATTTCTTTAACTAATAAGTATTTATAATGGTCTCCATCTGCAAGCACACACAATGAATAATGTAAATAGTAAGCTCCATTTAAAATAATGTGGAACTTGTTTATATTTATTCATGGTAGAGTGACAGTATTCTTATAAACATTTTAACAATGCTAATATTTAGAAGAACTCTTTAATAAATGATTCCTAACTGAAACAAAGAACTAGACTATTTTTCTACTGATACATTTGTGAATGTTAAAACTGAGAGAGATGCACATCTAGAACATACCCATCCTGATTTGAACTATGCAGTGGTTCAAAAGAGTACAGAATCTTGTGTTCTGTCCCAAATAATCTCCCAAAGACTGTACATACTGAAAATCAAAACGGAACATTCCACATGAAAGCGTCTTGGATTTTGACCTGTGGCGTTTTTTTTGGAAACATCTATAGAGCTTTGCGGGCGAGCTGTTTTAGATCCAGCTGTTCCCTTTTCAGGAAGTCAGAAAATACACTACCGCTGCATGTCAGCTTTTTACAATAACAGAGCAACCTAAGAGAGGAAGTCAACAACAGTTTTTATGGACATATTGCCCTCATCTTCAGAAGAAAAAGATTAATATCCATATTCAAGATCATATTGAATGTACGGTAAAAACGTTGAAACCAAAAAGAAAAAATACCCATTTACTGCATTAATATAACATTTTGCAGTTACTCCCACCTGTCAGATAGAGATCAAGATATAAACTTACCATCTTTTCCTATTATGAAGTCCAGGAAGCTATAGCAGTAGGCTGTTCCCACTTTAGTTTCCACCTGGGGCCGTTTGAGGGTTGAGTAGATTTTGCCTGGGCTGTTTTCTTCTGCCTTTTCTAGCTTAGGTAGTCCACAGCCCATCTCAGCAGGTTTTGTCACTAGCAGCCTCAAAGATCGAAATGAAATGAACCAGTAAGTGTGTGTCTGCTCCACTTGCTGGCGAAAACAGTAATCATTGCACTCACAGCATCTTCTGAACAATGAAAAAAAAAGAAAAGAACTCACACAGCACATTCACACGCCTCCTCCTTTAGGGGGTTTCATGAAACCCAATAAAGCGAAATTTGATAAACAGCTTAAAAAAAGAAAACAAAATGAGAAATATTCTTCACAGATGCCCAAATCCATTTCTCTCCGGTGGAAATTACCAGAGACAAGCGTGGAATTACAGTGCTTCCAACTGCTAAAGAGCTGCAAGCCTATTTTTAGTTTGAAATACAGTAACAAAAATCCTTTTTGACAACACTAAACCAATAGAATCACTTGGTAAACAGAAGGTAACATCATATTATGGCCATCTGATTAAACCTCAGGGTACTGCTTATTGGAGACAGAATCATGTTGCGAAAATCCCACCAAACAGCACACACTGACTGACAAATTCAGAAGGCAGGCTCCAAAAGATTAGAGAAAAAAAGCAATTAGCAGGGTGAATGGGAATGCTGTGCAAGAGGAAAGGAAATGAATCAGAAAATCTCTGTGAGCTGAATTTTCAGATTGAATAGGTGCCACTGCATCCTTTAGGATTATAGTCATATATTAGTAGGGTTCCTACACAGAGATGGCAATCTTAATTAGGCTTTGAGGTTTCAGTAAAAATGGTGTTTACAACATACTATATAAGAGAAGCTATACTGCTCCTGTTCTAAAAAGTTTTCAGTTCTCCATGTCTTTGTGTTTTGCACTACCTCTAAAACTCCTGAGAGGCTTTAAAATAGTTTTACTTTACAGTAAATATCAACGTAACAATGTTCATGCTTACTTTATCTGAAAATATTAAACTAATTTAGTAAAAGAACCATATTTTCCACAAGGGATGAGCAATTTATTTTCTTGACAGTATGCCCAAAGAAGAATTAAACAAAGGTGATCACTTCTACAGACTTATGTTAAAATTTACTTTTACAAAGATGTCAGAGAGAAAACATTTATAGTACCATTTAAAAACTACAAAATTACTACAGCTGACAGATCAACTTATATAAAATATTACTTTGTTAAAAGAAAACATCATAGCAAATGAGTTGTAACGACTGCATAGGGGTTTCATCTACAAACACTGCAAGAAAAACAGAACTAAAGTCAGGTCTGAATCACAAATCTTCATGTAGCAATACTCTATGTGAAATGGCACATAATCAGCCCCTAGCAAAAGCATTGGTACTATGCTTTGGGTACGAACTAATGAACTGTAAAAATAAGGTAACCATGTATCCTTTTAGAATAAAAAACCTACCTAATACTTCAGAATTGTATTTTTAGAGTAAAGAAGTCATCTCACACTCACAGAATGTACTCAGTGTTATCCCTTCCCCAAGAAATCCAAAGGGAGATTCAATGTATAATCCATCTGATAGTTGAAAACAACAAAGGGAAGAAATCTGACAAGAGGTCTTATCTGTATAGCTTTGGGAAACAGCAGAATGGTAAAATGTTTTGAGAAGTATTTTTAGATCAGAGTTTACAGAAATGTAACTACTGTCTTATTTGCAAAGCACTTTGTCACTGTTCCATCTGCTGATGTTTGGTCCAGCTCTGCTCAAATGCAAGAAGCTGAAGCAGCAACTTTAAGGTTGAAATTATATAATGAAATGAAAAATTCAGTTTATAATGATATGATTCATTTTGAAGTCCATATAACAATGGACTTTATATAGATTAATTTATAAAGCATACTATTAATAAGGAAGAGCAGAAGTGCTGGAAAGCCAAGTTAAACTTTAAAGCTTTTTAAAAGCACAGTATTTTCAATTTTCAGATTTGAGGGCTTTCTTTAAAACTAAGCAAGACTAAAACAATCTTTCCTTGTGTTTCCTGTCAAACAGTCAGTTTTATAAAAAAAAAACACCGTCAGCAAGAGAGATATGAAGGGAATCCCCTTTTTTGACTTCTGCTTTCCTCCCTAAGCTAAACTACGTACTTGAAGAGGAGTTACTAAAGATTGGTGGCTTTTCAGTCAAGAAATAGGAAAGGAACCCTGTCTTCACAAACAAATCAATAAAGCAACATTTCCCTTTAAGTTCTCTATGGGGAAGCTACAGTCAACAGGCTTCCTTTCAGATAGAAGTATAAAACAGCACTGCTACAGTACGTGGAACTGGAGGCGTATATAATAATCTGCGATTGTTCTGTGACTAATTGTTCTTTGTTTAAAAATATTTTCCAATTTCTCAACAATGATCAACTGTCATGACATTAATCAATTGCAAAAACTATATATCTAATCGAAAACCACAGTATAGGATGTTGCAAAATATCTAGTTATACATTTTAAACTTTAATACTCTCCCATACCACATATTAAACATTTATCATTTTCCAACCTTGCAAATTAATCAGATGTGCATAATGGAAGCTAAATGCCTTCTGTGCATCTTTTGAGTTTTTGCTCTCTAACTTTCATGAGGACCCATCTGTTCCTGCAAGGATAAGTATGATGGGATGCACTGTTTGCCTTGAATTGGGTGCATTTCATTTTCTATCTCAAGGTTTGAATGCATCTCAGGTCTGCAAACAAATTGCTAAGATACACACAACAAAGCGTAACCTTGGATACCGGCTTCTTTATTAGCACTCTGCAATTACAGACTATGAAAGACACCTATCAGAAGTACATTCCCTGGAGAATGTACATTGGCATTTAACTGTATTCCTGCTACCGTACAGTGTCCTTTTGTTTAAAAATGCCAGGTTACACTTCACAGCCTTTGCTCGGGGCAAAATGTAAGGACGTACAATTAAAATGTCATGTTGATTAATAAATTCTGTTACATTGTACAGCTTAAAAGCCTACACAATATAATGTTTTATAAAAAAACAACATTACACAAATATAACAAGCAAAATGTTATCTGTATGTGTGGCATTTGTACAAAGCTCTGCTGTGTACAGTTCTGGGCATATGTGACTGGGATTGATGGAAAAAAAAAGTTTTATCATTAATAAAAAGTGACGAATGTTCATTTTTGGAAAGTGTTCTAAAGGGAAATTCTCTCTCTAATTGTGTACCACTGGAAAGGGAAACTATGAGAGCAAATGTGTTCTATAGCTAGTGTCCGAACACACGCATGTCAGATACCAATATTAAAGGATTGAAACACTATAATTAAAATGGAAATTCTAAAATATTTCAATTATAATAGAAAACAAATGTAATAGATTTTTTGTGCTTAAATATTTCAGATAAAAATGAACTACTTACTGCAATGAATAATAACACAATGTATTAAAAAAAATACGCAATGTATTGAAAACATACTGCTTTTAGTAGAGGACCAAAACGTTTTAAGAAAACCTTCACACTCATACATTGGAGTGCTTCTGTTAAATATAAAATCAGAACATTTTTTAGATTTTTTGTGCTTTAATATTTCAGATAAAAATGAACTACTTACTGCAATGAATAATGACACAATGTATTAAAAAAATACACAATGTATTGAAAAAATACTGCTTTTAGTAGAGTACCAAAAGGTTTTAAGAAAACCTTCACACTCATACATTGGATTGCTTCTGTTAAATATAAAATCAGAACATATAAAAGTAGCTTTTAATGTGTAAAAGGAGATTGAACGTTAGACCATTGTTTTCATTTCCAGGTGAATTATACATGTACAGTACCATAAATTAACAGTATTAAAAAAAATCCTTTTAACATCAGTGGTCAGTAAATCATAAGTTTTACTATACAGATGGATTTTAAATCTGCATCTCATTTTTATATCTGAAAAAAACAATTTAATCTTCCAAAGACTTCAAAGCATTTTTTTTCTACTGATAGGTGATTTTTCTTCATAAAAAATGCATAACTTACCAACACACATTTATACAATTTTTGACACAAAATTTCACTTTTACAATTTCATTTTACTTTCACACACTGGGCATTTAAATGAGAAAAGTGTTGAGGCCGTTTGGGAGCTAGAATGTTGATACCATTTGTGTTTTGGGAGCTAGACATGCATTGAAACAGTTAAACTGTGCCTTCTGGAACCGATTAGCTGCACTTTGGTAAAACACTTCAAGGAAGAGTCTTGCTGGCAGTCAAGGTAACGATTTAAGATGTCACGCATATCTTGCTTCCAATGCTGTCAGAGCTAATTCTATTTTTTTCAAGCTTAAAGGGTGGGTCTGACATCTACCTCTCCTCTTAAAATGCCTAACCTTGAACTGCCCAGCAGGTCACATGCTTAGGACTGGAAATCCTGTTGTCTTTTCAAGGAGCAACAGACATGGCTTTTTTCAACTGCATTTCTCTTTACATGATCAGTACAGTCTGCTGTACATTGCAGGCATATTCAACCCGACGTAAAACAGAAGGCATCTCAGGACTGAACTTTAGATTTAAATACCTTGCACTGTCCATCTCGGAAAATCAAAATTCTTTACGCATTGAAAAGTATTTGCCACAGTGCTTCTGGTTGTATGGGTGCATCATTCAAGCAGTAAAACAATCAATACCATAAAAAATGGTTAAGAAACAAGTAGTTTTTTTTTAAAAAAACAAGTTTTAATCTATTTTATACATGTTTATTAAATCGGTATAAGTTAAGCTGTTGGCATTCCATTATTAGGTTACATTTTCTTCATTAAAAGACACTTCTAACTCACTTTAATTTAACTTACCTGTTAAGATGATGTTGTAAAAGACTGAGTAATCACTTCAAAGGTCAAAAGCAACAATCAGCCAGCCACCACTGAAACATACATTCATCTCAAGTAAAGGACGTTAATGGCTTGAGTGAGGGTAAAAATGAACCAATCTTCTGAGGTAATCCAATTTCAGAGAGAAGTTAAAAATGGTCGAAGTATCTTTTAAAAAAAAACAAAAACAGCAGATGACGCATTAGATCTAAGTGCAGAGATGTCTCATTTTCATCTCAACAACCCACAACCTATGGAAATGTATAGACACTTTGCTTCCTTTTGTTGTTAAGTCATGCCCAAAGTATGCTTCTGTGCAGTTCAGCAAGCTCAGGAAAACCACATCCTCTGACATTTTCTCGTTCTCCTCCTGCTATGAACTCTCATTGCAAAACTGTCTGAAAGAAGAAATCAGTCCTCAGCACAGCACAGCTCTGTACAACAGCAGCCTGCTCTCAAGTGAGAAGTCCAGGCAAGAGCACGTCGGAGGCTTAAAAGAGCAAGACAGCAGAGGCTTGGCAGTCGGGAGGGACTAGGAAGTCTGTACCCACACTCTTCAATGAAATCTATATTTTATAAACCCCTGAGGAGGCCCCCTATAGAGTCAATCCATTATTCAGTACAGTCTGCAAAAGGGCAGAATCCATCTGACAAAATGAGGTACTCAGATTTTTAGAATACAGTATATTATTAAAAACTATAACATTTTAAAATTAAGAGACAAAATAAGAATTACAAGTACATGAATCAAAATGCTGAAAATGATGGTTTCTTGGTGAATGCAATACCTTTAAGCCATTGTTTGAAAATAAATTAATCTTTCTTATATTTTGATCTGTAAAACAATTCACAACCTAATACAACAGTGTTGGAGGGAAAGGTCCTTATATTTAAACCCATAAATCAGCTTTCCCATAACGGCAAAACAATATATAGTGCACCTTAAAAAATTACTTGGGCAATAAGTTCAAAGATAAATTTTCAAATGTTTTTACTCTTTATCAAATACTCTACAGGTACCTTTCCCATATTTAAAAATATTAACCAAGTACAGAAGTTCCAATTTACATATAGTAGGTGTAAAATAGATCTGTAAAATGCTAGATGCCAATTTATGAATCTGATTTAATTGATTTCACTGACTTATGGAAGACCACGCGATTATAATTCCTTACTACAGAAATTGTATTTTCATTCCAAAAAGATGAGAAATGTTTGATACAGCATACATACTCTATTAAGAGGGGATCCACTTCATCCACCACTGCATTCATCCACACGACAAGTGAGGTACAGAAATTAATCTCAATTAAGGAAAAACTTTAGGAAGCTGTGATTCTGCAAGACAAAGTGGAATTTAGTCAGGACACTGGGGTTTAACTTGTGTTCTTAACCAAGTCCCCAGGACTTACAGTAGATTTCACATCTGAAGGATCTTAACTCCTACAGCAGTGCTCCCCATCATTGGATTTTAATTGTACTTTAAACTACTGTACATGTGTGATTATGCACAAAAATGTCCAGTCTTATTTTAAAACTTCTATTTTTAAATTCTGAATACATTGTCTATTTTGCTTCATAGACAGCCTTAAAAAAAGGCAAACACTTAAAACAATGAAGGTGACTGGTGTATTAACATTTGTTAAGGACTTTGAGGCATGAAAACCATTCAATAGATTTGATATGCAGGCAACTCTAATGAAATAGAGAACTACTAAAAGCTGCACAATGTCCCACAAGGATAAACATTCTCCAGCAGGGGGCATCTTTAGATACCACTCTTTTGTCTGGTTGCACCCTAAAGGGCATTTCTTATGCTCTCTGGATCAGTGTACAAAAATGACTTACCTACAAAGGATACTCTTTGCTGCCTTTTGTAACACTATTGTACAATTTAGGTGTTAATTATACAGATGATTAGGTTTTAAATGCATCAGGGCACTATTAAAGTATTCTTCTATCCATAATTGTAACTTTTAAATGAGCACATTTGCTAGGATAAATCATTCATATGTTAAAATAACTTAAGCATCTTCTATGATGATGCTGTTAAAGCTCCAAATGTTACCAGTTCATGATATACCAATTTCTGAACAATTTATTTCCAATACAAATTAAATTAAATTAGATTTCCTGCAACAGTACCCATGTGTCAAGTTCATGGCTTGATTTTGCCTCAGTATGAACTGTACTATCATCCTAGAGTCCACAAGATATTTAACCTGCCATGTCTTTTTTAATTCATTAACAAACATCAATCTTCTTGCACTTGAATAGTACTTTCCAAACCAAAAGATCCTTTACATACAAAGAGAGGGCCCTATTCCATCCAGTACTGCAACACCTATGTGGGTTTTGTGATTCGGTAAAGAAGTTAGAAGTTACTTTACCAGCTGAATTTAGGGGCATTCAGACTGACCAAGTTCATTTGCTCAAAAAAGCATCAGAATTGAAACTGAAATTTTCAAACCTGCAGAAAACCACAAGAGGGAGCTGCAAGTTTTTTAAAAAATCCAGAAACTACCAGTAAATGTATCTCAATGTATTAATGACCACTTTCATTCTGTCTGCAGCACACTATTACAATGTCCAATTAAGACCATTTCAAGTATTTTTCACACCCAGACTTGGCTTTTTTTGCTGTCAATTAGAATCTTAAAGTCCTCATTGTCAAGTGTTGATAACAGGCATCCAGTAGATTTCAGTTACTGGGACATTCAAGTAAGGAGTAAAAAACATCCAAAGGTGTCAACAGAATGCTAAAAACATTGAATAAAAAAAAACTGTGAATATATGAAACCAAGCCAAAAGTATTTTTGCAAAAAAGTTTATTAAACTTAACAAAAACCAACATGTGAAAAACAAAACTACCTCCAACAAAGTGTACCACACCAATGCTTCACCAATATCCATCAGCAGCCAATAATGTTAGCCAAAGGAGAGAAAGTTTACACCCTTCTTGGTTTAACAATTGATATTCCACATTTCACAAGGTAAAAAGTCACAGAAAACATCAACACTAGTGTTGCACTTTAACTACTGGTCAGAGATTAACATTTAATCAAAAAATCCATCAAGTGCAAGCTTCTCTCATTAAGTGGCTAAACAAATTCCTGGCTATTGCATCATAATACACACCAGACAAAGCCAATTAACTGCATACTTTTAAAAACATGGCTGCTTTCAGTTTCTTTTGTTTGGGCCTTGGCATTTCTTAAAGAAATTAATGAATGCTCTTACAGGCAGTTTAAAACTGAAAAGGCTAGGAGCCTAAAGAATTAAGTCAACAGAAACCTGTTACAGATGAAGGTAGGCATGTTTTCTGAAAACTATAAACCACAACTAAATACTGTGAAAATTAACTGTTTTACATTTTAAGTTTTCAGCTTTAACTTTACACACGTCAGGAGTCAAAGTGTTTCTACTACTGACAACTGGAACATAACCAATATTCAGGAATACTTCAGAGTAATTTCCTTCTTTATTACTATGGAATCGGAACCATTAAGTATCACTTAGGTTCGAGTGGGGAGCTGCGTCGGCATAAGCGGTACTTTTTCCTTGCATTTTCACCGAACAAAATATTTTAATATCTTTCTGTGAAACTGATGCTGTGGTGCTATATTTGTCGCAGGCATGCTATACGGGTACACAGCACATATCGGTTACCCCCCCCACTAAACATTATACAATTCGCAAAAACAAGAACAGCATTCTAGAACAGTGAACGCTTTAGAAGTGATAAACAGTTTTAACAAGAAAAATTTACTATGATAAACACTTGAAGAAACCTACCAAATTTGTGTGACAATTAAAAAATAAGACTGTGGCAACTTGACAATTACTTATCATGTACTGTACATCGAAATAAAGTAATGCCTTATATAGCACCAAACAAAAAAAATGCAAATAAAGTCTGAGAAAACTCGTTAATACAAGTTTGGAAAGCGAAAAATAGACTTGATTCTTCATTCACAACAATCAATTTTTCCATCCTTGTACTTGACATTAACATGCTTTTGTTTTGTTTTTTTTTACACAACATAAAGCATTAGGAATAAGTCAATGAAAAATGGGAAAATTAAAAAAGTAGAAAAAAGACAGGTGAATTTAAAAGACAACTGCTCAAGAATAACCAAGCTGACACCAAAAAAGTGGGGAAAAAAAGTGAAATTCACACTCCAACTACAAAGATGCTTAAAAATGTTTCAACTGAAGTAAAACTCAAATGAGTCAAACTCTCACATTCAGTGAATCCTTTTCAAGTATACTGCTTTTAATTACACTGTTCAGTAAAGCTTGCTTCCTTGTTTCTCGTGAGGGGACATAGGAATGCATTAAAATGTTAAGAGAGCATCTTCAAAAAACTCAATAAAAGTCTACATGCTTCTCCACTCAGACTTGGAAATCCTCTCATGAGCACAGGTTAACACACCTCAGTGCTTGAAGAATGTCCACTTAACCTGTTGGAATAATGAAAATAAATACTATGGAACAAGCATGTCTATGAAAATTACAGTACACAAGTATAATCCACACGATTTTAGGAACTTGGCTTACAAACCTAGCTTTCAGGTATGATTATGCAATGCCTGTTGAGCATGAAAACATGCAATTTACACTGCACATTTTAATTTATGGGATCATCTAAGGTATTAGAACACTAAAAAGAAAAACATGCAAGTATTATTTCATTCAAAATAACTGCAGTAGAGTAACCCTCATAGCACAGCTCATAGCAATTGTAAAAATACCTAAATTAAAACAACTTCCAGTTATGCAATTAGAAATTATAACTATAAGGTTATTCCACCATATGTACATGTCCAAACTCCTGCTCAAGATGTATGCAACATGCAGAAAAAAAAGCTCTGCCTACATGTTTATCCAAAGCACTTACTCTTTATATTAGATTCACTCCTACAGGTAGCAGATCTTAAATGAAGAGCAACACACCTGTGGCTCATGCATTGCTTAAGCAAATAAACACCAGTTTAATCAAAAAAGTTCTGAAACTTTGGGCTGCAGTGCACATAACCACATCACACCAAGGAAGTGGAAAACTGAGAAAGTTAGAAGAATCATTCTTGCTTTTTCATCAAGCAAATGAGTGCAGGTGGGGAGCCTGCATAAATAACTCTACAGCCTTGAGTACATCACAGCAGTGAAGAGTTCTGGTGGTTCTGTCATGTTGTGAGGTGCATTTTCCTGGCATTGTCTGCTTGCACCTATTCCCTTAAAAGGTTAGGTCAATGCTAATCACTACTGAACAGTACAGAGTGATCTTCCCCCAAAGCTGGGAAGGCATCTTCAGTGATTACAATGTCACTATCCACAGAACTCACATCACCAACCTAATGCTTCATGAGCATTATACTGATGTTACCCAAATGGCATAGTCTTCCCAGTTGCCAGATATGAACTGGGATATTCTAGAGCATTTTCCACCTCCATCAGACACACAAAAGTTGACTGTCTCTCATGGAAGAACGGTTCTGCACTAATCCTGCAGAATTCCACATGCTGATAGTTTATGCCACAGTGCATATAGGGCATTTCTACACAATGGCCTAATGCTGTATTAAGTGACTTTACTGTACATTGTGAATGTGCTTAAAAGGTAGTTATGTAAAAGCCAATCTCAAAACGTGCAGCAAGAACATTTGCTCTTTGAAAACCATTAATGCCATCATCCTTGACCAAAATATGCCACCATTCTGAACATGCCAAAGGCCTCAAACATCCAGATTGGCCAAACCGAGCCGGTCCTCTTAATATGAAAGTAGGGCTAGAACTGCAAGTTGAAAAAAAAAATGGTTAACCAAGATGGAAATAACATTCTAGTTATTCATTCAAGTCTAGAATACATAAAGACCACTAAATTAAGGAAATTTAAAATGAGCTCTTCTAAAGTGGTCATGGTATATTCTGAAAGCAGGAATATCCCCCCCCAAAAGGACAACTAACCAAGCTTTTTGTTAAAAAAAACAGGCTTAAAGCATGAATTAGCACTAAGAGCAAGGACAAGTACATTAACCTGCTATTGCAAACCTAAACTTTTTATCCTAAAGATCTTATTTTGCAGCTTAACATTTCAAAGTGAAAATATGGCTTATATGTAAGGAAAATACATTAAATGAAAGCCTGGCCAAGATCCCTCTCCACTCTCCAAGATGCAGAAACATTTAATACCAGAGATAATTGTTAGTTCTGGTTAGCAACTGACTTGGGTTTTACATGGGGAAAAGAGCAATACAATTACCTTAATTGGCACTAACACTGAGTTTGAACCCTCCAAACATTTCCCACCAGAACTAGAGTTTATCATGTACATATGATGGCAATTATACAGAGAAACTCAAAAGTGAGAAAGTGACGTTTTAATTTAATCCAGCTCAAATCAAATGAACAGAACTGAATAACGTAATGTGGTTATTGAGAATACCAAGAATTTAACTGTTTATTTTTAAATTGCTATATACTGTACCTGATTTAATATATAAATACTGTACGAATGAAAAGTTCCAAAAGTGTGGTCGAGTATCCTGACAGAGATGGCTCTCTAGATAGGTTACTACCGTAGCGGACAACCTTCCTTAAACTAGCAATTATAAAGTACCTTCCCTGTAGTTAATTAATAAGAATTCCATTAATACTTGTGAAAGTCGGAAAAAACAAAGGACAACAATGTAGCCTTCAGAATTAAAGACTTACTGTATGCGATGATAATCAATACCTCTGCAGATCGCATATTTAAAGGCATTTTTTAAATATTAAAACACTTGTTTTGTTTCACATAGTAGGCACATAATTTAGTATAAAATACTTACCTTGGAAAAGCTGTTACCATGTAGAGGGGAAATTATAAAATGGACATCAGTGTCTGCACACCACAGTCAACAAAATTCTGGAAACAATGCATCATGTTATAAGAGTAAGCAAAAACAGTTAGCACTTGCTTAACTACAACCCATTCCATTTTAGTTTTACATGAAAACAAAACTCATAACTTTGAATTCTGGAAAAAAAAGCTCTTCCTCTTACTTTACCCCCAAACAAGACAAGAACCCTTTCCCCTTCAGAGAATTTGACAAGTGAAGGGGGTTACCAGGCAGCTGACAAATCTGAACCTGGGTCACCTCACTAACTGTGGTTCATCAAAGAGCATCTGACAAATGGTAGAGCACCACCAGGGTAAGGCTTGGTAGTCCGCATTCCCGGCAAAGCATCATGCCTTCAGGATCGCAAAGGAATAAAGCAGGTGATCCAGTGCTTCTTCAGTCAGCAATATCCATTCTGTAATATGCTGTGGCTCTTGCAAGCATTTCAAAAGAGTAAGGAACAATAGGGCAGAATGTAGGAACGTTCCATTCACATAAGTCATTACTGTGAGCAGATAAACACATTAGGCCATTCCATATTGTCAGGGTATAAAGTGCAAAATGGAAAAGGTTTTGAAGCAAAATACAACATCTTAAAATCTAACCATATACATTCACATGGACACAGCAGTACAGAACAAGATGTGGATTCAAATCCTGACTGGGGCACAATGAGCAAGGTATTTTACTTGGAATTGATAGAATTTGATTCTAGTCCACCCAAATGAGCACCATCACTTGGTGAATCCTACTGATGAATGGATCAGAGAATGAGTCATGCTGTCAATATTGATTCATTGGTGTGTGCCAAGGCCTAGAAAATGTATAGCTGCTACAGAACTCCACTTGTAGTGAACTGATAGAAACGCAACTACGCGGTGGCTGCTGACAAAACCCTAGGACTCACTTGCTGGCCTTGCAGTAGGCTCATCCAAACATGACAACAGTGCAGCATGACCTCCTGCTACAGGAGTGACAGCAGCATTTTTGTGAGAGGAGAACAGTGATGCAGTGGAAGCCTAACACACACTTGTTGGAAGGCTATGTGTTATCTTGGGCTCAGAAAATCAGGTAGACAACTGTAAACACTGAGAGAAGAGAACGGGACAGAATCCCATAATACAACACAGTGCCTAATGCAAGGCAGGTGTAACAACTTCTACTGCTTTCAGTGATGGCCACTATTAGGTTGTGAAAAAAATATTTTTTCATAGACTAATAGAAGATTTAAACTTCCTAAATGGGAGCTATGGCCAGAGACCGGAGAAATGTAGATGTAATTCTAATTCATAATGGGAAAACTGAACCTGGAACAATAAATTAAGCTTACTTTTTTGCTGGTAAAGTTATAAAAGACAGTAAAAGACACTAAAACATACAAAATAGAGGCATTTTAAGAACTAGTTAACATATTTAAAAAGGAAGGTCTTCAGTATACCAGAACTTTGAATAAATGGTAGCTATAATGCTTAAGCATTTAGATTTCAGGAAATCATTTGAGACTGTCCCATAAAATCAAAAGCTCATGTATACAGATTGAGATAGATTGGTTAATAAACAGTAAACCTCTATTCATTTTCCAAATCAATGGTAAAAAACTAATCTTGCCTAACTTGGCAAGTATCGGGCACAAGGCAGCACACACCATGGATGAGATGCCAATCCATTGTAGGGCACAGAGACACAGACACACTAATTAACCTACCAGTATGTCTTTGGATTGTGGAAAGAAACCAGAGCACCAACGAAAACCCTCACAAACAGGGAGAGCATACAAACTCCACACAGAAAGCACCCAAGGTCTGGAATTGAATCCTTGGCACCAGCACTGCAAGGCAGCAATGCTAACCACTGCACTCTACTTATCATATACATGAAAATACCTGTTAAAGGGAACCTTTAATTAGGCAGATGTCCTGGTGATTTTCCAACACTGATCCAATTTAAGCCTGTTATTCTTCCCCTGTATGCATCAGTGTTTTAAATTCTCATAGGAAACTGTTAAAGCTTCTAGTGCAAAAACAAGGGCAGTAATAAATGAGGGCAATGGGACTGCAAAAACACTTCGTAAATTTTAACATTGATAAGTACACAAAGTGACCCACACAGGAAAAAAAAACACCCATTGCATTGGTTATTCTGAGCTACGTGAAACTACATATGAAAGATCCGGATGTTTATGAAGCTATTTTTACGTTTTAATCAAGAAAAGCATAAAAGGACAGGTGAAACGAACTAAACATATTTAGTCAAGGACAAAGTAGACATCATACGAGTGTATTAAATTCTAAGAAAGTGAAATTATGCCTTGTGTTCACCCTATACAGTGAAACATGGGGTCATTAACCATAAACAAAATGCGATCCGTTAAAGGCAGAATAGGAAATGCCTTTATAAAGTTGTGGGAATCAGAAATGTAATGAATCGATTAATTTAAAAGACAGGATCAATAGCTTCCTCTCATTTGCAACATCATCCACAACTGAAAGATGGTTAGCACATCTCACTTTGAAATAGTGGCCAATTTAAGAAAACCATAATTGTTCTATTTCACTTTAAACCCCGTTTAAATACACATTTATTTAAAACTTTTTTTGAAAATTCATGTCACTTTTTACTAGAAAGCAACCATTCTGAAAATATTAAATTCCACTAATATGATTGCATCTCCCATGTTTTATACACCATGGCATGAAGGAAAGGAATCAGCAGAATCATCAGAATTTACAAATTGTGCAGAACTTGAGAATCAAGAAACAACCACATTTACAGTATGAAGACAAGACAGCCCTCTACTGCTCACTATTAAAAGTCAGAATTAACATGATGAAAGCATTTCCTTAAACCGCCTTAGGAACTCTAAAGATCTACATTTTACAGAAATTAAACCAATTTTGTTCTGCATACTGATAAGTGCTTTACCAAGTTTCATTTTAGAAATATTAGAAGAAATCACATTGAATATTTAACTAATTTTAAAAAGAATCCTAAAACAAAATTACGAAGTCTGCCATACTTACACAACCCAATTCCATTCACTATGCAAAGACTTCTTGGGGAGGGGGGAAACTATTCAACTATCTGAATCCATGTACACATGTACAGATGCAGCCATTCAAGATGCAGTTATCTGCAGAATACCGCAGTGCGTGACTGGCTGGCCAAAATGACAGAGAGATGGCACTTGTGATGCACTAGTTGTGAGGGAAATGATTCCTTCATTTAATCTCTTTACCATGCATGTTCAAATCTGCTTAATACGGAATATTAATGTGGGGTTTTAGAACTAAAGGGAAATTTAGTTGCCGAGCAAAAAATAAGAGGACGTCTCTGAACGTCATACACAATAATTTTGGAGTATACATAAATATATTATACGAGTTATAAATTGCTGACACTGGTAGTTTAAAAAATACACAACAGTATTCCACTTTCTTCATAAACATTTTATGCATCAAAGTCTTTCACTACTGGTTATTTTAAGACCAGATTAAGTTTATATTCTTTATAAAAAGCTATACGTTTTAACCTTTTCTATGAACACTTTCGCTCGTTATCGGAGTAAAAAAACGTGTACTTTTTAGAATCCACTAAATAGGGAATATATTATGAAATCGCTTACTTAAAGAAATGAATAACTATATTAATTTAAATATATTTATATAGTTGGTAGTATTACTGTAGTCCACTTTCTTTGTAAAGATGTTTTATTTTTAACTTAGCAAATACTATGTACACTATATTAAGTTTTGGTTTTTTAAAATATTATCATATTCAATGTCAAGTGATATTAATAATGAAATGAAAAAGTGAATGAGCAAACGTGTATACTGTCAATCAGTGGCAACAAAAACCAGTTCAATTGGTTTAATTCAAAACACTTAATTCAGTGGGGGCAATTTAACACAAGCCTTTACAACAAGCCTTAAAATGAAATTGTATATATTATAATTAGAATCGAGAACAAAGCAGTATCAAAATTACCACTGAAGCTATAATAGTGTCCAATCATTATTAACAGTATTAATTTAATAATGGAACAAGTAATAGGTTTATTCCATGCTGAAAGAAGAAGAAAACAACTGAAGAAGGCACACCCGAAGAAGGCTCCACAGCCGAAACGTTGCGTTTCCCGAGTCCCTGTAGCCAACAATACACTATAATAGTTGACTATTTTTATATATTCGGCTATGTAAGAAACAAACTGAAAGTAATTCTCTGATCGGGCTTTGCACTGCCAGGGTGCAGCGCGCTACGTGACAGTCCATTGCCCATTACCACTATAAAAACAATATTTTTATTTACCATACATTTTTTTAATGAACGTGAAAATGTTCCCAAAATGTACAATTGTGAAATTTTAGCTGCTTAGTTACACGATTCTATATTAATATTACTATTAAGTGGTATGAAATCAGTACAACTTATTTTTACAACAGCAAGTGGTGCTGTTACTTCAGTACATATTCTTAGAAAAGGATAAAACAGTTATAACTTTATTAAGTATGCTAAAAAGTATACTATATAAGCTTTATGTTAGACCACATTAACACCACAAACCACTACGTTACCAAGTTAAAGACTTTGATGCATAAAATATTTATGCATAATTACAATATTCACAGTATGAAGAAGGTGGAAGGTTGTGTACTTTCATACCTACTTTTTAATCAGTTTAATGTTTAACATGCTGTAATACAGTTTAGAATTAAGTCTAAAAAGTATACAACTTAAATTCTGTAACTGTCAAAAAATTGTCCCTTAGCATTGACCAGGATTCGAAAACCAGACCTTTCCTGGCGACAGTCCAAATGCTGCATAAGACGATAAGCTTTCCCAGCTCCACCTGGCGGTTTTACAAGGTATTTCACCCTATTTAAAAAAAATCACGTGGTACTTTGCAGTTCCTTGCGTAACGTGCACTGCAATTTTCCGCAGCATACCTCGCGCATTTTGAATGGCTGGATCTCTACATCCTGCAATGCATTTGGTGTCCCATCCAGGATGTAGTCCCCACCCTGTGCCCTGGACATGAAACTTACCAAGAAAAAAAACAGTACTAGCCCATCCCTATCCAGTACAATACACTTTACATACCACAATGTTAGCGTTTTTAGCCATTACAAATAATATACAATATATTTCTACCTGCTTAGATGTAGTATTTAGTTGTACTCCTAAAAGCTCAGGTTTTATCCCACTTTCCAGAAACATGCCGACTAGGCTTTTTTACACTGACCCAATGTGCTTTACAAGGGACTGAACTCCCAACCAGGCTGCAGTCTTGCCTTTTACCATATGCTTACGGAATGAGTTAAGGAGCCTTCAACAGGAATAAGTTGCTTCCAGATAATGGAAGAATAGACGCACTTTTTCTAACTTGGTGTACAGCACAGAACTTGCAGCACATCACTTTTAAACCCCTCTTCTCAGGAAGAGGAAACTGAATGGGAAATGATCAAATTAAACATTAATCAGTTTGGATGGATCAGTGATGGAAGCTAAATATTGGGGGAAAAAAAGCAAATATTTAAGCATAATTTATATTCATACCTCGACATTGGTACTTGGTAGCAACACCTTTGGAAGGAATTACTTCTAAAGGTCTTTGTAAAGGTCTACACAAGCTGCACAGTAGGACTTATTTTTGATCATTCATCCTAGCAAAATTGCTTAGTTCTGGCAAGTTTATTAGTGTCTAGTGTTTTAATTGCTGATGAACTTGAACTTGTTGAATGTTTTGTAACCTCTTATTTGTGCTTCTCTACCACATAACTTTTCAAAAGCTGCTTCTCTTATAGAACTATAGGTAATTTTATGTATGCATTTTGTGGGCATTAAATTAAATAAAGGAGGATTCAAAGCCTTGTTTGATTACACTAATTTTAGAAACTTGAAGTGATTTAGGCTCACCAGAGGAAAAGGGATAAATGGCCATCGAGAATGCCCTCATGTTCTCTGAAACCTTATTTGAAAATCTGACAACATCCTACATACAAAGTGTCATGATTCCAAAGACAGATGGCAACAAAATGCAAAAATGTTGTAGGATGAATATTTTTACAAGGTAATGTATACAAGAACATTTAAAAAGGATGAGAACCATATCATATTTCACAATCCTGAGTAGAAGAAAAAAGTACTGAATACACAAGATTCTATAAAAACTTTAGTTTCTACACCAATTACATATAAAAAGATGTTGAATTATTCCCCACCTGATTTATGATTCTTGCCCTTGGTTCCCCTGGCCACTGTGGAGCAGCATACTAACGGAGAAAAGGAAATTACAAACTATCTTCAGATGACCAAAAAGTAAGATACCAGATGGAAATGTCTGTTGCCCAAAATAAGACTAACATTTGCTGTTGGCAACATACACAAATTTTACACACCCAATTGATAAATCAAAATTAAAACAGCCGGTTCATTAGGCATTTCATAACATGTGATACAGCATTTGAAAGCCCTTTGGAGTTGGAAACTAAGAACTGACTGTGCATACCAGTGACTGATTCCAAGATAAAACTTCATGGCTCTTATCCTCTAATTTCAGTACAATTTGGTTTATAATCAGTTCCTGTGCAGATTACCTGATTACTTGATGTGTTTGATGCAAATCAAACTAATGCAATTAAAGAACGCTTAAATAATTCCATGTAACAATATTCACCCAGTAAATGCACACTGATGGATAAAACATTTTGAAACCACTACAAATTATCTTGAGTGCTTCACAATTTGAAAATCTATTGACAAGCTTGACAATAGCCCTGTTGTAATTTACGTGCTCAAATCTGTACATTAAACATATACAAGATGGCCAGTTCCAACAGTATATATAGTGCATATTTGACAAAACACTTATATAACCATTATATAGTGGACTATATATATAGGACTTATACAAGTCCATTAAAAGTCCATATATAAGTCCATTAAAACTCTACATGGAGCTCTCAGAGAGCCTCAAACTTCCTCTGCTGAATGACAAAGCAGATAAATAGACAACTGAGAAGTTTCTGTACTAATGATGTTATACATTTTTACTGTATGAACACAAAGGCCATGATAAATTTCTCGGTTAAAGACGCATAAAAAAACAGTTTACCTGATATGCATAAGCAGTCTGTGTATAACCCATAGGCACCTGTGGCAGTGTAACTCCTGGCAAGGCAGAGTAAGTATATGGCTGGAAAAGAATACATCAAACGTAATGCTAATTTCATCAACTAGTATTTTTTACAACTTGAAAATCAATATGGATAATCAATGGCTGTTTTTTTTCTTAAGTACTTTTCTGCATTATACATCCATATGCATATAAGGCACACCACATCCAGCTAGCCCCATTAGCAAGGGCCCCAAACTATGCAATAAAGTCTCCATGTAGGAACAAATGCAAACCAAGCCGATGTACAGTATATAATCCACTGGGCAAAAAAATAAATTGGGATTACCTGCATGTACTGGCTCCCTGTATTCATAACTGCAGAGGGCTGGATTACATTCCCCATCACTTGAGTGCAGCAGCTACAATATGTATATTGTGACGGACTCATCCAATTTGGGGGACCAAGAACATGACTCTGAAAAGAGCCTGAAGCAAAAAACAACATTAAATCAACTGAAAGTCGCTTATTTCAGCAACCCTCTGGAGTTTTGCGGCATTATATAATTGGCCTTTCAAGTTCTCATCTGATTTTGTTTATCTTGATGGTGCAGTTTCTGGGACAATGTTGCCAGGGAATGCCCAAGGACAGTACATCAAAACCGGGTTAGGGATGAACCACAGGACAACTGTGGAAAGGAAACTTCAGGCTCAATTAAGTCTGGGTATTCCGTTTCCTATACACCCTCTCCCTGCCATACACAAGTCTTGAAAGTTGCACAAAATCAACTTTACATAAAATCCTCCCCTGGGTGCCAAGACATTTACGGTGTAAGATCGTATAAGATGTTTTAGGCCAATGGAGTGTACACGTGTAAAGCACAAGTAGTGAGGCATATCTGTCCTGCAGATGAACAGTGCAGGGCAAATGTATGTGATCTTGGCTTTGCTTTCATGCACGCATGGGAATGGCTGCATACATTTTGGGGTTTTTCCACTAAAAAATGTTGCTAACCTGAAATGCAATCACGGCAGGGAAGCACCCAAATGATGTCATTTGATGTGCCTTTTATTTTGGTTAATGAAATGTTTAGTTTTGTTTTAAATCTGTTAAAAGGTCATTCTCATTTATACAGTACAATAAACATATTTGCTGTGTATGCTACATTTAGACTTATTCTAATTACAGGGGCCTAAATGTTTTTTTCCTCCCCATTTTTTTCAGTCTTTCTATCTTTATATAAAAGGGGGAACTTCCCTGCTTTTAGACTGCAAGCTAATATTACAGTACATTCCCTTGCTCTCTACTATGTCCAGTGATTAGAACAGACACCCATAAACCACTGAAATGACAAAAAGCCCTGGCAAGCATGCAGTTCTGCACTCCTGTCCCTCTTTGCTCACGTAGACACAGCAAAGGCAAGTAAGGGAGAATCACTAATGTCAGGGATTGAATTGCTGGCTGTGTCCCATGGTGCACTTGCGGTCTTGTGCCCCTTCAAATTAATTTTGCCGCTCAGGTCTGCAAGGGCTTAGGATGACCCATTTCTAACCTGCGTTTCAAAAGAGTGCTCACAACGCCTCAATGAGTCCTTTTATGGACCCCTTCTTGCAAGTCTACATGAGAGCGGACTTCACTGAAGGGAACCCCAAATTCCTTGAAGAAGGGTGACATTTCAACCTATCAAAGAGCGAATTTGCCATGGAAAATAAAACTTTAAAACAATTTTAGGTAAAAAATTTCATGAGCATTGTAGGTAGAAAGTTTTGACAAAGCTATTATCCATTTCAACTGATGAATATTTATCTATATGGCGTACTTGGTACATGAAAAGAAAAAATTATATTAAAGCTTTGTACTATTTAGTTTACCATGCCCACTTTGAATCAATCCTGTTTAACGTGAATGGACATTATGTTCATACTGTCATTTGTGTACAAGAATAGACGAGATGAAACACTTAATATTATGAAGTTCGATTAAAGAGTGGTATTGTCATTACTTTTGTGCAGGGACAGAGAAGATGATATTCAATTTTATCAAACAGTGAGCAAACAATGACAAATTTAAAACAAATTTTTCCAGTGTACTCTTAGCCACTGGGAAAAGAACCAGCACAAATCCAGCAACAGAAAACATTTTGACCATGAGCCGTAACCAATGGGTGAGGTCATGCAAGATGTCCCAATACCCTTTTTATAACTGTACCTTGGTTAGCACAGTTAAAGTCCACACTTACTCTACATCACAAGGGCTCAGTGCTGGTATAGGAGTCATAGCTGACAAATACAGCTGGAACACTCACTGAGCAATGGGCCGGGCCTTTTGAACAGCATTAATAGCTTAAACAAATGTCGTGTCCTATTTTACAATGTTTCTAACTGGATTGTGTTCAGTTGAGATGGTGATGAGGGAAATGTTGTGTTGGACTGCAATGCACAATCCAACAGGTGCACCAGTTTTTAAAATGGGTTGAGACCCATGTTCATTTAAGTTAGGGTTCCTAAATGTTTGGCCCCTTAATGAATACATCGGGAACTTACGCGAACTTCGCTCTTTCATGATAGCTGGTCCAAGTTTCAGTTTCCTTCCTTTAAAACTGATCTGTTGCTGAAAATGGAAAAAGTAAAAAATTAATTTGATTCTGCTTAAGAAGTGATTTAAGAACTATTTTCCATTTACCACCAAATTTTTATCTAGTTGTAGACACTAGCAGAATTTAAGTTGAAGATTTTTCATGATATCAAAATTTCATTATGAATGTCAACTACCTTTTGACTTTGCAGATATTGTACATTGCTATGGCTAGCTTTACCAATTTTTAAATCTTTTAAAAGATAACATCTTACTTTTTATCTCCATTGATGCACACATTTAGCACTATTTCAATAACATTCGAGATGCTATCTGGACTAATCATGGAAAAACGCTCAACTACAATAAGAAATGTAACAAATGTGAACAGCACCATGCTACAAAAACTCAGTGCTACAAACAAATTGCTCCAAGTTTACATTGCTTGGAATACAAAAGTAATCTATGAAATTCACCAAAGCTTTTTATATTAAAATCATATAACAGTTGAGATATTGGGTTAAGAAAACTTGCAAATCCAGCCATTCATAGCAAAACCAAGTCACAAGTACAAAAAAAATACTGTAAGACACTCCCCAACTTACATCAGGGGATTCCACAAACTTTACATGCATCTGAAATTATGTATGTCAGGACATTCTTACGCAGTCCAGCAAAACAAATATACACTTTTTACATCATTAGAAAATCTTGCAACCTTGATTAACCTGTTACAGCTGAAATTATTCCAGAGAATGTACTCTTGAGAGAAATTATGCACACAAGGCACCAAGGAACAAAACTGAGGATGCAGACTGCAAGAGCAAGATAGCTGCCTTTTCTCCATACACAAGTAGGTATGTTGCTAGACACTAATGTAAATTTTCACATTAAGAATTACTCCATGGAAACTTTACATAAAGCCAGATTTACACAAATCTGGCAGTCTCTAAAACACAACCACTGAAAGCACTTTACAGCAAATTCATACAGACATCTATAATACTTCTACGACCGCATACAGAACATTGTATACAATATTGGATAACATTACACAACATTATTGATTCTCTGCTCAGTGCAGAGAGCAACCAGACAATACATTCCTGGGCTTAAACCATTAACAGTTTAAAAAACGACAACAAGCTAAAAACTGGGTTGAATATGGAACAGAGAAGACTAAGAAGAGACCCAATTCAATTTTATCGATATCCCTTAAGGCACTGATGAAGTCAAACCTTTCGACTTCACATTCACAAACTAATTCAGCAAAACGGAAACCAGAAGACAACGGTTTCCACATGGAAGTGCATTTAAAAACGGAGAACAGATCAAAGGATGAAGAAAGAGGAATACTTGACAGATTATCAGTCTTATTAAAAGGTACCTTCATGGGCCCAGGCATACATTAGCATGCATGCAAAAGATGGATGCAGCTAACAGCTATAACTTTGACTATGCGAATACTGAAATACTATAACGGCATCTATGAGACGGGCAAGCTTCCAGACGTTCTTACTTCAACAATGGTCTGAATGTCCACATCCTCATTGAATGATACAAAGCCATACCTATGGGGTGGAGGAAATAATCATGTTACATGCATTAAAGCTACTTCTTTCATAAAACACCTAAATGCAATGAAATAGTGTATTCTGTCAACTAGTAAACGTACATTGGCACTAACTGGCAATATTTAAGAACACTGATGAGAATCTATGAAGGCGCAGTACTCTATCTTTAAATAAAAAACAGGCAGCTTAACTTACAAACTCACCCCTTACAAATGCCCCCGCGATAAGTGATTATCTTTACTTCCTTCACGGCACCGTATCTTGCAAAGAAGTCCCTTATTTCATTTTCATCCACCTGCAACACAAAGCGTTTTTAAGCCTAACTGTTCAAGCTAATTTTACGTCCAATGTTTTTCTTTGTACTCACCTTCATATCAATTCCTCCAACAAAAAGTGTATTCGGCGTTATCTTCCCTTCGGGCAAAACGTATCCGTTTGCCATTTTCAGCGAAGGGGAAGTGTAAGATGCGTTTATCGCTGTGTTGGGTTTCTCCTTGTCAGACTGAAAAATGAGCAAATATAGTAGATCACCATACTTCGGCCATGACTAACGGGGTTCAAGTATTTCATTAATAACTTTATTCAATGTACTTTGGTTATAGTCCACAGCTACTGAAAAAGTTAAATCGCCATCATAGCCGACCGTGCGGCTCCACTTCCAACACCTGCTTCACCATTTCTCTGATCTCCAAACCTGAAGGAGAGAAACCCATATTCGACCGATTCCTAACATGACCATACACACTCGTGTGTATTTCGCAGTTATATTCAATTTCCGTTAACCTTTTAAGATCTGTAATAAACGCACATACTGGACACTTCCAAACTTGTGGACTGGAAGAGGAAAATCGAGGAAGGCTCGTTTCCCCAGCAAGTGATTCTCGATTTTCATCGTACGGTCTAGTCTAATTTTAATCCATCATATACTTATCGTAGGGGATAAGATACAGATTATTGAAATAAACTTTAATTGATGCATAATTTCTGGGTTTAGCTAGGAACTATTGGCACCTTTCCTCAAAAAAACGCGAATTACACGTGGAACCTCACCCGTAAAAAAACTCCACACCAAAACCACTATTTTAATCTGATCGTCGGGGATCATGATCATACTTCCTATAACTTCCTTTTGAAAAACAACCTATTTACAGTATGATAAAATATAAACCCAAGCATTGCCATAAAAACAGCATGAAGCACGGTTTCATTGCTTTATGTCAGATTCCTCGTAACTCGTGAGCATGGCAAGTTGCCAACGGATATGTAAAACGTTTCTTTTACGATACAGAACGCAAAGAAATGAAGATAAACTGTTAAGCGAAATACACAACCGACTATCGTGGTTATTTATTGATATTAATCAATACAATAAAAAAAAACTCGTTCCCGCTCTCCTCTACGAGCCATTAGCACTTTGGCCCCACCTATGAGGAGATAGTGTTGGCGATACGGAATGCTACTTACCATTTCTATAAATAAAATAATTAAAACTGTACAATAAATTAATCGCTTTTCCCAAGGCATAAACCTTTATATTGCCCCCCCAAACAAGAAAATTTGCCCCCAAGCACTGTCCATAGGCAAACAATTCCAACGCTGCCGCTATCCACTACTAAATAAACTTAGTTTAATTGGGACAATCCAAAAATGAACTGTGGGTAGACACGGGAGTGCATTTCAATTACAAAACTCCTTAATTAGCTCATCTATACTTTATTTATACACATTACTTGATCACATTAATTAATAGAAAATCAGGCTTTCATTTTTTTATGTTCATTACAACCTAAGAATGTACTCATATACCATAATGTATCTATTACCCCCCCTCGCCCTTCATGGGATTACTTAATTTACCAGAAGCCTTCCCTAACGGCGCGCTCTTCCTAGCTTGATTCGTCACTTGTATGGAAATCGTCGAAACTGCCTTGGGAAGATTTATTTCGAAATTCAATTGTGAAACCGATTACAGTGTATGATTAAACGTTTTATATTGGCCGGTCGAATGAATTAAGGAATTATTGTAAAGCGTAAGACCAGGAAAGCATTGTGAGACCAACATACTGTATTTGCGGTGCCGGTTCCCCATCCCTCCGTTTTCTAACCGTTCTGTCCATTTTCGGGTAACTAGTCCGTTATAGAGCATACAGACACACACTCAAACGAGGTTTTCAGAGAAGCCACATTAACCTACCGTTATGTTTTTGGACAGTGTGAGGAAACCGGAGCTTCTAGGGAAACCCAGGCAAACATTGGAAGAGTGTACAAACTCCACGCAGCTAACATCAGGTCTAGGACTGACATCAGGAAGCAATTCTTTTACACAAAATGTTGTGAGGGACTAACAAACTGTCAGATGCGGTTTTTTTTTTTAAGATTGTTCTCTGGGACCCTTAAGAAAGGGCTACATAATGTACATTGCACTATCAGAAAGCTACTTATTCCCAATAAGCGCAGTAGCAACATAATAATGTAGGTTGCATGGTAAAACTACATCAGTCCACTGCAGGGTGCACATGTGTGCATACAAATACATCATTTACTGTATAGACACCAGCTGGATTTGACCTTGGATCAATTAAGCTACCATAAACCAAATAAACAAGGTGGACTAGTTGGCCTCCTCTCATTTGTTATCTTCATTATCTTCCTGCATTCTTACTGTAATACAAAAAGTGAATAAAATATAATGGGAAGAAAAAGTTGTGTGATTACTGCCTACTTTTTATATAGGATATTTATGTTTGTCAGTACAGTAGTATACAACCAAAAATGTTAGTTTACAAAAAATATTGTAACGCTTCAGGGTTCACATGGGTGCCCTCACCACCACAAGCAATGGAGGCCGTAGGCGTTACACTGGTGTCAGAAGCAGGGTGGGATAGCCCTTCGCCGAGGACGGCGAGTTAAGCGGGGGAGAGTGTAACGCATAAAGCCTCCATTGGTTGTGAGAGCCGGCTTACCAGTGCGGTGACGTCACTGCCTTTCCCTGTGAATAGCAGGGACTGCAGCTACCAGGCTGACGGGAGATTTCCCTTTGGCTCAAGTGGCTGGGTCCCTCTTGAGTGATGCCGGAGGCCTGGGTTCGAGTCCCCGATGGTGGGGGGGCTGACCTGAGGTGGCAAGGGTGAGGGTGCCCATGTGAACCCTGTAGCGTTACAATATTATTGTGGATTGCCGCACTGACATGTACTGTATTAGCTTCTTTTGCATCTAAACTATTTTATTAATTAAAATTAATAAAATAGAGGATTACTAGCAGCTACTGTATATAACCCTGCAACTCACAACTGGCAACCCATTGCTGCTAAGCAGGTGTGAGCCTGGCCAGTACCTGGATAGGAGACCTCCTGGGAAAGCTTAGGTTACAGCTAGAAGAGGTGTTAGTGGGGGCAATAGGTGCTTGGTGCTTACCATGCAGTCTGTGCAGGTCCTAATGCCCCCAATATAGTAACAGGGACACTACACTGTAAAAAAGCACTGTCCTTTGGATGAGATATCACACTGAGGTCATTTCTTGAAAAGAGTAGGGGTGTTACCAAATTTCTGTTGGCCTTTACCAATCAGTGGCTGGAACTAGATCCCCATCTATGAATTGGCTTTATTGCTGTTTTCCTCCCCACTGGTAGCTGATGTGTGGTGAAGTGTACTGATGCAGTATGGCTGTCATCGCATCATCCAGGTGGGGGCTGAACCTTGGTGGTGGTGGTAAAGGGGAGTCCCCATTACCTGTAAAGGGCTTTGAGTGGTGTGTCCAGAAAAATGCTATGTAAGAGTAAGGAATTATTGTTATATTTGTAAGATATTATTTTATTAATTAAACCAGAATGGAAAGTAATGTCTTATGCTACATTATAAACAGAATACCCCCCCCCCCAATGTAATGGCACATAGTTATCATACATCCCCCCAGACATGCCCAGGAGAATAATATTCAAAATACTTTGTAAATATACTGGAAATTTAGCTCTATTGTGACTGACTGCTTTATTGTGACTGACCAGGTGAATTAATAAATGCTTTAACTTCATTGAGCTTTAAACTCTGAGGTAAGATGGCAAAACCAAATTACCATGCAAAAATATTTAAATATAGATTTGCTTGTGAACTGTTAAGCCACACATATTTAAAGGTTGAGTTTAAATATTGCACGACCACTCTTTTATACCACTAGATGGCAACCCCACCTTTTGACACAAAATTAGAATTGTTGACTATACTGTACCTGTATCACCGGCCGGCAGAACTTAACCGTTATATCACAAATTTCATAAGGCCTCTAAAATATGACCTTCGATCTATGGCAAGCGATTTGCTAAATGAAACAATTTAAAGATAATTAGGAACAAGAGTTCAAGGACAAGAGTTCCCTTAATTGAACACTCCAGAAACGGTTGGAGATCTCCACTGTACTGTAATTCCTTTGAGACATCACTGCAGGGTTTTGGGTAATTATGTTGAGCAATTCATATGTTTGCCTAGTCTTTAGTAGGAGCTGGTATAAAATAAAAGACAGTATTTCAGAGTGCTTAATTTAAATGTGTAATGCTTGAGTAGCTCTCTTTGCAATAGAATACAACAGTAATATACGTCTTTGTGTTTAAAATTGTATTTTTTTAAACCAATCAAATTTTACAAATGAGCTATTTCATAAGCTATTACAAATGAACTATTACAGCAAAGGTCATACAGAACTCTGTTTTTTTTTTAAGTTATACTACACATTGTTAGCATGCTTCACATCTTTGCAGATTATAATGACTTAATTAAATGCATTAACAAAGATCTTCACTACAGAAGATTAATTTTAGGACAAATACAATAATAATTTTCCTACCCATACATCTATTTTCTAACTGCTTTATCCAATACAGGGTCATGGCGGAGCCAGAGTCTATCCCTGCAAGCAATGGGCACAAGGTGGGTTACATACTGGAAGGGATGCCAGTCTATTGTAGGGTACACTTAGACACTCACACCAGGGCCAATTCTCATAGAAGCCAATTAAGCTTCCAGTATGTATTTGGACTGTGGGAAGAACCTGGAGAACCCAGCAAAAACCCACGTGTACATGTGGAGAACATGCAAACTCCACCGAGATAGCACATCAGTTCCAGAATTGAAACCCAGGGCCCTAGCAGTGTTACCTACTGTACCGTGCCACCATGCCACCCTTTATGAAAGACCTTCAGTATATACAGATGCAGCCATTCAAAATACACAGTACAACCCCATACCGCAGGAAATTACCCACAGTTCACCACGTTGTACCTCAGTACGTGATTTGGCTGGACAAAATGACTGACGTGGTGCATTGGTTGTTAGTGAAACGATTTAATCATTTAATCTCTTTACCGTGCATGTTTTAATCCGCTTAGTATTATTGAATATTTATATGGAATTTTGCAACTAAAAGGAAACTTTAGTAGCTGAGCATAAAAAGAAGAGGAGCGTCTAAAGGTCATAAACGATATAAATTTAGGAACATAATCATATTATGTAAACTGTATATGGCTGGTATTGGTAGTTTAAAAAAATACACACCAGTATTCCATTTCTCCCTAAACATTTTAACCATCAAAGTCTTTCATTCGGTTACATACTGTGGATATTTTGGAATAGTTTTTACGTGCTCCTTCTGACTATATTAAGATTATATACTTTGTAAAATGTTATAATGTTTAACATTTTCTATGTATATTTGCACTTGTTATCGCAGTAACAAAGCACATACACACATTTGATCAATAGGGAATATAATATGGAATCTTGTGTCCAAAGAAATTGATAACCATATAATTATAATCATATACTGTAGCTCAAATTATCACAGTTGTACATTAACACTGGAATCTTGTTTTTTACAAGTGTAAAAAGAGGCGATACAAAACGTGTCTCCGATATTATTCGTCATTTTACAGAGAAATGCCACCAGACCAGGATTAGCAGGATTTGTGCAATAAACACATTGTTTAATGAGGATGACATTACCCACGTCTATATCACTGTACAACACTTGTTTGAGTCAGAGTGTCTGTTAATAAAACAGAGCGCCTTGAAATACATACTGTATACTGTAACGACTTCAGGTGGGCAGCTGTGTCAGCATACAGTACATAGTCTGCAAAGGAACAAGTAATAGGGTAATAGCTCATGCCTGAAGAAGGCTTCACAGCCGAAACGTCGTGTTTAATCTCTTCTCTCTTCAGCATGGAATAAACCTATTACTTGTTCCCTTACTGTAACTACTGCATGATTTCTTTATCCGTTTCAGCTAAATGAGGGGAATTAAATCAGTCAGAATTTTTAAAAGTTTTTTAAAAAGAAAAGGATGTCAAACTTTTTCTGAAATGTCCACCTGTGATATTTATGCTGCTTAGTTACACGATTCCATATTCATATAACTATCAAATGATGTGGTGTTCTTACTATGCATTCTTAGGAAAGGATAAAATATTATAACTTTTTTATGAAGTACACAATATACATAAGCTTAATAATGTTAGAACAAGCATGTTAAAACCAGACAGCTCAAATGCTGTACATGAGACGTTTAGCTTTATTAGCTCCACCTGGCGGTTTTACAAGGTTATACAAGGTGCTTCTGGATACTATTATCATAATATAATTTGCATGCAGTATAA